ATCTCAAGGAAACAACGCAATTCCTTTTTATTACAAAACCAACCCTTTTCAAACTACAGTTAAAGGGTAGAAAATCATTTTTTTTTTTGGGAACCAAAAACACAAATTTACATTAATTAAATTGAAATGAAAATACAGCAAATTGTGCACGTAGTAACTAGAGTGTGAAACGTGCAATACTTTTTACTCTATTGCTATTCTTTTTGGTTTAGTTTGAATTTATTTTTACATTCGCGTACATATTTTATACGGCACCGGTGGAAATTGCGAAAAAATTCTAGTTTTTTTTTTAGTTATGTTTGCACAGTTTCACAGTAATAAATGAAGTTTTAAGCATCACAAGCTAATTCGAATTTACTTTTTTAATTGCGGCAAAAAAATGATGACAAAATGTTTTCAATTCCGTGTGTGCAGATTTGCATTTACTTTTGTGCTGCTGGATTCAGTTTTTTTTTATGAAAGGTTTACGTTTTGTGTGTGCGTGTATAATGTACATATAATGATTTGCTTTTAAAGCAGATAAATCTACAGAGTTTTTGAGTTGCATTCAAAATAAATGGAATTTATTACACTTGAATGAAGAACACTTCATATATTTTTTTATGTGAAGTAAAATTCATTACATATTTGAAAATGTATATTATTCAGTTGTTGTTTTATTCGAAATTGAATAGGTTTCAAAAATTAAATTAGTATTTTAGAAATTTTTCTTCAACAATATATTTAAGGTAATTTGTTATTTTTCATTAATATATGAGTTTGAATAGTAACTTTTATTTATCAAATATTTATTATATTTCTTAATATGTGCGCAAATTAGAATCTATGCATAGATTTTCGCAGATATAAATAATTGGGCGGATATATCCGCCACTCGTCCGCATCGATTGAATCTTGTAATTGGTGTCATATCTAATAATTTAAATTGGCAATTATAAAGTTGTGTAAATAATGGAATACAGATAGTTGAAGTTTGTATGAGGGAAAAGCGTTTAAGGTTCAATAAAACTGGAATACGTTATTTACGGTGGAGTGTTAGAAGCAGGGATTATTTACATTGAACAAAGGACGTGCGCTCTAGATTTTCAATTGGTCGCCGCAGGGAGAACAGTTGAAATACAAGGTTTAAAAAAAAGACGAGCAGGTCCTGCAAAATTTGCAAATATCACATAAACAAAAAAGGACGAAAACTTGATTTAGTAATAGCCTAAACCTTAGAAGTTCTTTTATGTAATCTTTCTTCTAATCAACCATACAATTTCATTGAATCAAGTATCTTTCCAAAATTGTTATTTTTCATTAATATTTGAGTCTTAATAGTAACTTTTATTTATAATATTTATAACATTTCTTAAATAAATTCTAAACATGTACGCAATCAGAATCTAAGCATAGTTTTCCGCAGATTTAAGAATTGGGCTTATATATCCGCCACTCGTCCGCATCGATTGAATCTTGTAATTGGTGCTATACCTAATAATTTAAATTGGCAATTATAAAGTTGTGTAAATAATGGAATACAGATCGTTGAAGTTTGTAAGTGGGAAAAGCGTTTAAGGTTCAATAAAACAGGAATACGTTATTTACGGTGGAGTGGTAGAAGCAGGGATTATTTACATTGAACAAAGGACGTGCGCTCCAGATTTTCAATTGGTCGCCGCAGGGAGAACAGTTGAAATACAAGGTTTAAAAAAAAAGACAAGCAGGTCCTGCAAAATTTGCAAATATCACGTAAACAAAAAAGGACGAAAACTTGATTTAGTAGTTCGCGCGGTCTGCGTGACGCAAACCTAACAACATCAGGGTTTTGTTTCGAATCAACACACACACATGGCGTAACGAAACAAGGAAAAAAATAAATTTATGGCAAACCGTGTTAGGTATACGTAACGTATAGTGTGTAGATATGAAAGAGGGAACGCTTCAAAAATTGTGTAATTTAGCTCATTTCTCACGCAGCAATAATAACTCAACGCCCGACCATTTTTCCAACGCAGACGGTGCTGCAGCCGCCTCCACTTTTCGACGTATCATTCTTCGTATATCATTATACAGCGTGGAGAGCGCTGTAGACCTCTAACATTTCAGTAAAGAGAGAAACTGCAAAAAAAAAGAAACGACACTTAACTGGAATATTAATTAAAACGTGTATTTCCTGCACTTTATTAACTAGAAACTTTTCGGCCCGACGAAATGGAGATTTATGCTTCTTGCATTTATATTCATTCCGAACGGCGAGCAATTTTCGTTCCCTAAATTTGTCCCTAATTTGAAAAATGAAAATTTTATTCCACCTAATAAAACTGAAAAATCCACTCCACTCCGCTGAAAATACAGTCTTTTTTTATTTTATTTTATTATTTTGGATGAAGAGTTATACATATATACGTGTTTTTATGTGGAAATTCTTCTATTCGTGGGGAAATTGGCTTCTTATAATCAGCACTTCTTGCCTTATTACAGACGACTACGTTTTTTTTTGATTAGCGTTAGGATAAATGGGCTTGTAATCCTCTCCAATCTACGGTAATATGATTTCGTTTGGAGATGAAACCTAATTTGGAATTTCTGTACTTCACGGAAATATATTAAGCATAAACCGATCACAAATCACAGACTTATAGGAAAAAATAAGAGTTTTATTCCTTCGTATAAGCAGATTTTTCTATAACCGAAAGAGTAATTTCGTACTTGAAGTTTTCAAATTATTTTAATAAGATCTTAATTATAATAAATTGAAAAAATCTAAAAAAAATCTTTGAATTTGTCTGGATTTTTAATGATTACCATGATTTTAAGTAATTTCAGTAGATTTAGTATACAATTCAAAAAATTCTTTTTTTTTTTCGATCAAAAAGCCACTAAACTTCATAAGTTCTTTTATGTAATCTCTCTTCTAATCGACCATACAATTTCATTGAATAAGTCTAGTATCTTTCCAAAAGAATTTCTGACACACATCGAATCACCTACAATTCTTAAGAAATACTTACATCAAATATCAAAGAAAAGGAACTTCACGTGTTAGTGACTTAATCATAATAAGTTTCTTTAAATCTCTACCGAAATCCTCTGTCCGCGCTTTCAAATATAAATTGGCAATTTTGTTGTATCTTCAAATTCCAATTACAGGATTATACGTACTGCAGAAAAGACGACGTTGCAAGAGATAAATATATTTCGTGCATTGCATTTTTCAGTTCTCATAAAACATTGTTATATATTTTCAACAGCTTTTCTCATTACAATACTGTAATTTGTAATAGCTTAATTAGAGAAATAATAATGCTAATTAAATTACTCAATTAATATGTTTTCTTTAGTTAATCCCTTTGATTAATTGATTTTATATTAGATGTCAAATATAAAATCTTAATACGCCATCTTTTGGTGTATTTTACAAACTTGCATTTATTTCCTCGTATTTGGTTAAATTCATAATTAAAAAACAATATCTTTTATGGTTTTGCATTACGAATTCATATCATGATTAAATATGAAAATACTACTTGTTTAATGACAGCTCCACAAATTATAATTTTTGAATATTTCCCACCAAAAACATTGTCATGTCATTAATATCTCATTTGGAAACAAAACATATGGATAAAAGCATGATAAATGATCACTTGGGGTAATTTACCCCGGTTAACCTACCCCAGATTTACATCATAGTGATTGATCAATCTGAAAATAGAACAGTTCTTGTTAAGACAGCTTTTTCACAATTTGGCAACAAAGCTCACTGAAACAACGTTATTAAATTGTTTTCTTTAGTTAATCCCTTTGATTAATTGATTTTATAACAGATGTCAATTATAAAATCTTAATACGCCATCTATTGGTGTGTTTTACAAACTTTCATTTATTTCCTCGTTTTTGTTTAAATTCATAATTAAAAAACAATATCTTTTATGGTTTTGTATTACGAATTCATATCATGATTTAATATGAAAATACTACTTGTTTAATGACAGTTCCACAAATTATAATTTTTGAATATTTCCCACCAAAAACATTGTCATGTCATAAATATGTCACTTGGAAACAAAAAAAGCTTGATAAATGATTGGGGTAATTTACCCCTGTTTTAAACCATAGTGAATGATCAATCTGAACAGTTCTTGTTAAGCTCACTGAAACAACGTCATCTATCGATTTGTTTCAGAAACTTTTACATATATCAACGTAGTTTTATAACGCGTTTATGAAGCATTACTTTAATGGTGATTTGCTTAATATGAACGTAGTGGTGCTTCATTAAAGTATAGTTTACAATTTAAATATGAAATAAAGGGGGATGTTTTTTTTATTTTACATAAATTAATGTGGAAGTATCCAGCTTGAAATTGCTCTGAAAAATAGGAATAAAGGGTTTCAGTTTAGTTTTTCTTGTTTTATTCTATTTCATATTTTTTTTTTTGAGAGTTTGAAGTAGTGTCCGGGGATGCATGAAGAATAATATGATGCAATTGCATTCCGCACAGTTCATGCGTGTAAATAGTACAATGGATTCGGCGGAATGGTGAAACCTTTTCGCAGTCGAGTGTTTTAATAAATCTGCATTTTAAATGCGCCGCCTCCACCTCCACCTCCTTCATCCTTATTCTACTTCTTCTGCAACCACCCCTAGACGTCTATTACAATGTCAAGCGCGTCAAACATAGCCGAGAACAACTGTTCGAGACAATGTTAATTTATTCAAATCGCATCCCCTTCGGATAGAGAGAGAGTTGGTAGCTCAACCACTTCAGGCACCATCATTCATTTTAATACATGCTGCGAAATAGGGGCATATCTGAGTGCGAGGGAGAGAGAGAGCAGTCACATCAAAACGCATTTAATTAAATCCTTGCTAGTTTCTCGCAGGATACTTCAAACGGCAGCCATTTGCATACACATAAATACATTGCGTGCACCATTTCGTATTCATTTGCCCATCCATTATTAAACTGAACGGGGGGTTTGGGGGGATGGAAGTGGCCCCTCAAAAACAAGGGATGGTGCGCTACAAAGGCACATTATCCTAATGCACAGCCCGCGTTTTCATATTTATGTACACATAATTACGTGTTTCAAATTTTAACTTTGATTTTCAGGATCCCAGGACGCCAGCTCGAAGAAGTTCAGGGACTTCCTGCAGGAGTGGCCCACTCCAGGCACCGGACCATACTTTGATACCACCATCAACTCCAACATCACCGGATTAGTAGGGAAAACCGTTTTGCTTCATTGCAGAGTTAAAAATCTCGGAAACAGAACCGTAAGTTAAATTTTTACATTTCAATTTTGACAGTTCAATTATGACAGTTAATGTGTCACTTAATTATTTGATTTATACAATCTTATTACATAATATGCTAATTCGCTGGATTAATAGAGAAAACTGCTTTGCTTCATTAAAAATCTTGCAAATAGAACCATCAGATATATTTCAATATTGACAGTTTGATTTTACAATTGTTATACAATTATATAATATGCAAAACCGCTGGATTAATAGAGATATTTTGAAATTTCAATATTGACAGTGCGTTTTTGACAGTTCATGTGTCACTTAATTATTTGATTCATACAATAATATTATAGAACATGCAAAATCACCGGATTAGTAGGGAAAACACTTTTGTTTCATTGCAGAGCTAAAAATATAAGAAATAGAACCTCATAAGATAAATTTTGACATTCCATTTTTGACAGTTCATATGTCATTTAATTATTTGATTTATGCAATCACATTATATAATACGCAAAAATACCGCATTAGCTGGGAAACCCGTTTTCTCATTGGAGAGTTAAACAATTATGAAATAGAACCAAAAGTTACATTTTGAAATTTCAATATTGACAGTTCAGGTGTCACTTAATTACATAATTTATACAATCACATTATATAATATGAAAAATTACCGCATTAGCTGGGAAACCCGTTTTGCTTCATTGCAGAGTTAAACATTTATGAAATTGAACCATAAGTTAAATTTTGACATTTCAATTGTGACAGTTAATGTGTCGCTTAATTATTTGATTTATGCAATCCTCTTATATAACATGCAAAATCGCTGTATTAATAGAGAAAACCGCTTTGCTTCATTCAAAATCTCGGAAATAGAACCTTAAGATATATTTTGACATTTCAATATTGACAGTGCGTCTTTCACAGTTCATGTGTCACTTAATTATTTGATTTATACAATCATATTATCGAATATGCAAAATGACCGGATTAGTAGGGACAAGCCTTTTGCTTCATTGCAGAGCTAAAAATATAAGAAATAGAACCTCATAAGATAAATTTTGACATTCCATTTTTGACAGTTCATGTGTCACTTAATTATTTGATCTATGCAATCACATTATATAATATAAAAAAATACCGCATTAGCTGGGAAACCCTGTATTGCTTCATTGCTGAGTTAAACATTTATAAAATAGAACCATAAGTTAAATTTTGACATTTCAATATTGACAGTTCGATTTTGACAATTTAGGTGTTACTTAATTAGTTAATTTATACAATTATATTATATAATATGCAAAATCACCGGATTAGTATGGAAAACACTTTTGCTTCATTGCAGAGAAAAAATGTAAGAAATAGAACCTCATAAGATAAATGTTGACATTTCATTTTTGACAGTTCATGTGTCACTTAATTATTTGATCTATGCAATTACATTATATAATATGCAAAAATACCGCATTAGTTGAGAAACCCGTTTTCCTTCATTGCAGAGTTAAACATTTATGAAATAGAACCATAAGTTAAATTTTGACACTTCTATATTGACAGTTAGATTTTGACAGTTGAGGTGTCACTTAATTACTTAATTTATACAATCATATTATATAATATGCAAAATCGCTGGATTAATAGGGAATACTGCTTAAAACTTCATTAAAAATCTTGGAAATAGTAAGTAAGTTAAATTTTCAAACATATTTCTGTCATAGTATTAAAAAGTGAATTTAAAAAAAGAAATATATAAAATTCTATTAAAATTCACTGACTACTTAATAATTAATGAAATCTGGGTAATTGTAATTGTAATGAAATTACTGAAAATTAATTTTCATAAATTAAATTTGATGTAAAATATTGGAGTAAATGAAAAGAGGGTTTTTGGTAAATTGCAGTAGTAAAGTTAAAATTATTGTCGAATTTCGGTACGTGCGCGTCGATTAATTCACTTGCAAAGCCGTTTCGACAATTTCCCCTTACTCTCTTACAAATTACAATTTTAAATGTACTTCCAAGCCGAGGCGCAATCGAAGAAATTAAATAATTTACGACCGCCGACGAATAATTGCGCTTTGCCCTACGCAAATTGGCCTAAATTACATATTCAAATCGCGCGTAATTAGCGAGAAAGATTTAATTAGTTTCGTTTTTCATTCACGATTTCGTTAAAATAGGAAACTGTATTCGCATGTAAAACATGTGCGCATGAACTCCACTTTTATACGTTTTTTCTTTTTTTGGTACTCAGAAGTGAGATGGTCGGAGCCCTTAAAGTGGCCCTAAAACAAACCCGTAAACATTTTATATATCAAGCTACATTCCTTTTTGTTTTGTTTTTTGGTTTTTCGTTGCCTGCTGTCGTTTCGTTTGTTGTCGCCTCTCAATTTTATTCCCCGAATCGTAAACTTTTTGACTACACCAATATTAGCATCTTTTATTATTCGGATTTTATTCAAATTCCGTAAAATTAACGGATATACCGATAATTGTATGAAACATGGGTGGATGCAGCGTTTGACCTGACCTTTCTCTCTTGGATGAAACCCACAATTTCCACTCTGCTCTCATTTCATCTTTCTCTCTCTCTTCTTCCGACTATTGGTTCATAACTTGTGCTCATTCATTCGCGTCGCCTCTCGCCCCAAAGCGAAATAAGTTAGGATTTTCGATTTCCGCAATGATTATTTGGCGTTCGGCCAAATGGAATCTGGAATACGACTCTAACTACAATCGGCGCTAATATATTGGGATCGAAATGAGGATGAATGCGGAGAAGGAAAGAAATGTCACATTCAATCTGCATCGGGCGATGTTTCGAGATGATTGAGTGCACTGCGAGGAATCATTAAGTTAATGTCCACAAACGGATGTTCTTCTCCATTGAACTTTTCTTCCTTTTTTTCTTCTTTAAATCAAACGTCTTCTTTAATCATAACATACAGAAAATCACAGAAATTTTAAACTTCATATTATCATACAGATTTATATAATAAATTGCGTCAATCTTTAACTAATGGACTAATTAATATATTCTACTAAATTAACTAATCTTAACATTTTTGAGAAATCGCAAAAACAAATAAAAAAATTGAAAGAGTAAAGTTAACTTTGAAGGTTCATTACTGAATAACAGGAAATTAGACAGATTTACTAGACAACGCACTGGGAAGGCCATAGTTTTATATTCAATTTGGTACTTTAATAGTCTAATTAGCATGCATGGTTATTGAATACTTAAATAGAACATAAATCTTTTAAAATAAATCGAAAAATTGATATATTTCAGTGATAAATAAACATTCTTAAAAGTAATTACATCAAAAGAATCGCAATTCAAGACTGATTTTGATGAAATTATAAAATATATCAAAAGTTATACAAAAATTTCAGGTTTTGTTTACGAATTTTTCATTTTTTGTCCCAAAATTAACGCAAGATTTAAATTAATTGGAAAACACAGTTTTTAGTCTTCAGATTGTGATTTATTTTTGTTGAATCATAAAATACAAATGGCGGCAAATTCAAATTTTGCGTTAATTTTGGGACACCCTTTATAAGACAATAAAATGAAAATACGTAAAAAAACTTGAATTTTTTCTAGGACTAAAATAGTTAAATCTAAGATTTAAAGTTAATTAAATTTTGATTATATTTTTTTTATCAATATTTGTAGTTTTACTTATTCGATCATATAATTAGCATGCATGGTTATTGAATACTTAAATAAAACATAAAGCTTTTAAAACAAATCGAAAAATCAATATATTTCAGTGATAAATAAACATTACGTAAAAGTAATTACATCAAAAGAATCGCAATTCAAGATTGACTTTGATGAAAATATAAAATGTATAAGAAGTATTCCAGTTTATAATAAAGGGTGTCCCAATATTAACGCAAGATTTGAATTTGCCGCCATTAGTATTTTATGATTCAACAAAAAAAATCACAATCTGAAGACTAAAAACTGTTTTTTTCTATTTAATTAAAATCTTACGTTAATTTTGGGACAAAAAAAATGAAAACGTAAAAAAACCTGAAATTTTTGTAGAACTAAAATAGTTAAATCTAAGATTTAAAGTTAATTAAAGTTTGATTATAATTTTTTTTTATCAATATTTGTAGTTTTACTTATTCGATCATCTAATTAGCATATGTAGTTATTGAGTACTTAAAGAAAAGATAAAGCTTTTAAAATTAATCGAAAAATTGATATATTTCAGTGATAAATAAACATTACGTAAAAGTAATTATATAAAAAGAAGCGCAATTCATGACTGTAAAAGTTTTTTAAAACGAGAAATTTAGCTTTAAAATTAATGTAAGTTACATAATAAATATTACAGTATAAATATTTGTACTTTTATTTTATAGAAATTAGTTGAATTTATACTTAATTAAATATATTTCTTGTATAAGAATTCGTTGTTACATAATGGGGTGTAATAATTTGAATATCAACGCAATCGAACTTAGATCCAATTTTAATTTAGTCCTCCAATATTTGTCTTAGAGACACAGGAAATTTCCGCAGATAATTTCGTTAGGTTGAAGTTATCTATATCGTTTTTGGGATTGAAGCGATCATGATTTGTTGATTTTAAGCATTGTAAATTCAAACTGAATGTAGATCGTGAAACAATACCAAAATTGAACAACTGTTTCCTACAGGGTAAAAACATCTCGGTTAACCAAAGCCCTCTCGTGTGTGATCTATCTTTTGAACTGGTGTCGGGTTCATCCGACCATGGTGGATGGGCGTGAGGCCAGGAATCCTATGTTTGTTTTTTGTTCGGTTAGTATTATCTACAACGACAAAATACACACGGCCAATCGATACTGTGGTTGTTTACTCGAGTGTTCGTGAAACGGAAACATCAAATACATTAAAATACTCCTTTTCACCTATTCCAAGCACACATAAACACTTATTTGTTTTTCCTTTCAAATGATGATCGTGTGTTTGACCCAATTGCTGGAACTAATGGAAAGTTTTCATTGTTCGCTTCTGAACTGAAGAT